AGTTGGTTAGAGCGGTGCGCCGGAATCGCAGGGCCACAGGTTTGATTCCTGCCAGGGACCTATAGTTGTATTTTTCGCAGCTAGGTCTAATAAATGGATACAAATTTCCACTCCATAATTTCCATCTATAAGATCATTCTATAACACTATTTCTCAATTGAGTGTGATGCCAACATATATATATATATATTTATATATATATATATATATATATATATATATATATATCTACAGGGTGTATCAAAAAAAGCGCAATCCTCGACTGAAATGTAAATTGCTAAACAAATAATAAACGAAAATGTTAAAGTTTACATTCATTTTAAAGCGTAGGCATTCAGCATTCGGTTGTTTCTTAAATTTGACTCATTGGTTCGCGGGTAATAATACTTTACGTTATTGCGATTGGAGATTAAAAAAATTGAGATTGAATAACCAATCGTTCTCATGAAAATAACTGATTTTTTCATTAAAACAAAAAAATGTTGCATTTTATTAAATGGATTGTAACAATAAGTATGATTACTGCTCTTCTTCCACTATTTTTAACTCAGTTTGAAACTTCAAATGCGATATAATTTTGGCTTAGACCATCTAAGCTGACTGACATCAACTTGCTATAATTTCTGTTTACATTACATCGCAATTCGATGACACTCTGGCTCAGACACCAGAATGTTTTGATTCTATGATTTTTAGCATTCGTTTAGGATTTTCAAACAACCTGGTATCTTTTAAAATACTTTTTAATTTGTTCTTACGTGGTTTTCCAGATGTAGTGACGACAACATTAAAGTTTAAAGAAGAAAATTCTAACATTTAAACCGACTAAACAATAACATAGTAAACTTGCATAATTAAACAGCAACTAAAAATGATAGGTTTTACTAAATCCTTTCCTGTGCAATTATTACTAGCATTGGAGACAAGGATAATAGTTTTTTTGAAAGAGAAAAGAACAGGCTTTGAAGTAAGCCTAAAAGCGTTTAACTAGAAATAGTATTTCGAAAGTTATTAAGCACAAAAGATGAATTGCGTTTATTTTGATACACCCTGTATACATGAACTTGTGGTTAAAGCTCGATAACTGGACTCTGCAGCTCAGTCGGTTAGAGCGCTGCACCGGAATCGCAGAGCTACAGGTTCGATTCCTGCCAGGCCGACCTTTAGTTGCATTTTTCGCAGCTGATCCTATAAATTTCCACTCAATAATTTCCATCTATAAGATCCTTTGATAAGTAGTGCCTTCATGTGTTATCAATTCATTAACACCCAAAATTTTCCTTGCATTGCCTTAAACATGTTACAATTTATTTGTATTGAGGCAATTTGTTTGTACTAATTAGGCACGCGGACCTGTTATGTTACCGTTTAAACGACAAAAATTAAGAGTGCCGTGCCAAATTTGTAGGCCCGCGTGCCAAAATTTAAGAGGGCTGTGCCCGAAATTGTTGTCGTGTAAATGCGCCTAACATTACTATCGTTAAAATTTGTTTATATTAACTAGTAAATGTCACATCAAGACTGATTGGTCATGAACTTGAGACCTCGCAAGTCAAAACTAACAAACATTCAGTTTTTCCCAATGCAACCGATAAACAGAGTCAAAACAATGGCGTGGATTATAATTATTTATTAATACACCGATTATTGTGTTTAATTCAGTGAATGTACGGATGTAATTTTAAATACTAACTGACCTACCAATTCGAATTTATAGGCTCTTCATTAAGGTGCGTGCATGGTTGTATGTTTTTCTATTCTCTAACATCTCGGCCTCGCGCTTATAATGAAAGCTTAACAAATTTCAGTATACAGTATAATTTCATGCAGAATTAGCTGTTATTTCCCTCCTTGTTACGACACAACTTCTCAGTAAAATTAATAATGTAATAAATATGTAAGAGTTAATTACCGAGAAGCGAGGCATTTAGCCATATACAGCCCGAGGCGCGTACATGATTGACGCGGTTTTCTTTGTTATTCATAGACCTTTATTTTCCATAATGTCTTTCAAGTATATAAAAGTAGCCTCCTCCGCAGGCCTCTCTATGGGTTCTAGCCTGCGAATGGGTTTTGAAAAAAAAATTTTCTGGGAGAGAGGCCTGCCATAAATCGAACAAAATGGACGTGTCAATGTACCTTGTGGCCGTGTCAATGTACCCCACCCCCTAAGTAGGCTTTTGACCCTAATTATATATTCAGTTTGAAATCTTCAGGTGAGGAGCGAAGCTTGCGAGTATTAACTTTAAAAATGTTTTAAAATGCATCGAAATATTCAAGTTATACGAAAATTAGTTGGTCAATTGAAAGGATTATATATCGCAATGTCTCTCGCGGTCTAAAAACGACGTGCAAATTTAATTGAATCGCTCGCTCGAAGCAGCCAAATGTTTACAATGTATCAATTGTTCAGCCGAGGAACTACAATTTGAGGAAATTATCTGGCATAATTTCGAACGAAGAATGGAACGATACGAAAGGTATAATTTGTTTAATAAAGGAATTATATTAAATTGTATTGTTTTCTGGAATAATATTATTTTGGCATGTTTATTTATATGAAGGGTTGACATTTTGATTATATTTTACTAATTTTAGTCAAATCATCAGACATTTGGCAACATGTTAAGTGAATTGATATATAAAAGGAAAAGATCTTTCTGTTGAAGCAACCATTTCAATAAGTGAGGAGAGATAACAACTTGGAAATATCAACTACAGAAATATGATTACTACAAAAATCAAGATTTTGTTGGCATCTTAAGCCTGGTTTACATATGCCTGCATTATCATTGTTTACAGCTGTTGATGCATACATTCTTTTGTGAATTATTTAGTTGAACCTTTAACGACAATAGCCCATCAACAAACAGCAGGTATATGTGAACCAGGCTTCACTTGGTTAAATAGTTAATTGGAACTCACCCCCTTAATTAATATCATGTGAATATGCTAAACCCATTAAGTTGCATTGTAACACATGTAACAACCTCTTTCTAATATAGTATATGCCTAGTTGTGTTACACGTACTGGCCACATGACATCCATGATTTGATAAATAAAGAATTGAAGATAAATTTATGATGTATCTGCATATTCTCTAATTATATGTATCTCCCTTGTTCATGTTTAAATAAAATTGCTCTTGACATATATTTGTTTTAAATAAGAGCCTACAATGCCAGGGGCCCACAACAAGTTCTTGTTGTCTCATCACTTGCCGGCACGCCCCTGCTTTTACTCTGTCTAACATCAGACAATTTTACTATTCCAGTGGAGAGTGCAAACAATGGGCTAATCTAAAGCTTCACAGCTTACAATTAATATGTACCCACCATTGAAAGACTTTTGGGTGGTTAATGTAACAATTAATAGCAAAACATGCAGGGATGGATTTACTGGGGGGGGGGGTGCACACCCCCTCCCTAGCCCTGGCCAGGGGGTATGTGTGTGCTATTTTTCATGATAAAGCAAAAAATATTACAGACAAAATGAGATATTGTACACAGTACACTTGTACCACATTGAGGTTGTTTTGCCAAATTGTCAAAATACTGCTGTTGCTGTATATTAATGGCGGGCTGCACACATGACGACACAACTTGAGTCACTCGACACCAGAGCTGGCAGAGCACCCCCCTACCAGATCATGCTGGATCCATCCCTGAAAACACGTCTAACACTGGGAAGTTTCGTCAGTGACTGTATGGTTATAGGGAAATTTGCCTTGCAAAATGGATTTTACCCATGTAAATACTTTGTCTGTGAACTTTGGCAAGCAAAATGGAATGTATGTAATGCCTCCATTGGTTAATTAACAAATCCAAGGCAAATGTTATTAAAACAGGTCTTCATACATGTTGCACCACATGGAAAACTATTAGATTCTTATTAAATTCCAGTTGTCCTTTCCCTTATGTCTACATTTATACTCACACCCATATATAAAACAGGGCCACTGATTTAAGAAAGCTTTTGCTAATTTTCACCACATCTGAGACACTCAAGTTTGAAAACTTTGTCTTTGTCCAAGGGATAAATTGCACAGTGTATTCCACAATAAGAAAGCTATTTGTTTAAGACTTTTATTAATGATTTCCTTCCATACAAGCGTATTAAAACAAGGCAAGAGGTGTTTATATATTTAACGACGTGGATATTCGTCCGACACCGGATCTTCCTGCTTCACGGCAATTCATCCGACAACGCTTTAAAAGCTAAAACTAAACCACTAAAAGGGTTGCGTTGTTTCTTAAGAACGAAGCAACAACATATTCGATACGCTATACGTTTCGTACGCGGTGCGTAAGCGAAAATCACGAAGAAAAAAAAAAGTATAAAAAAAAATAATAAAATAGTGGCGCGAGCAGGAATCGATCCCAGAACTTGGCGCACACAATACGGGTGCCTAAACCACTACACTACGAAGGATTGGCTTGAAATTCAACTAAATTTACGCTGTTTTATTTTTAACGACTTTAACGATATGGAAATGTCGGACGAATATCCACTTCCTATACGCAGGCACAGTCACAGATGTCAACAGTTGAATTTACATTTATATATTAACAATTTTCGATCGTTCCTTTTCGTGTTACAATTTCGACTAAATCACTGCACTTTCAGCTTATTATGATATAAAATGTCGTCAACAATTTGAATAGAAATTTGCATATATCAACGATAAACTTTCAATTGAAACCTTGTCTTGACATGAATCGACGACATTGTGAATTCACTGCTCTGCAAAGTCACTCGTTATCTCTAAACAATCCAAGTAAATCGCTGCGTCGGCTTTCGATAACGTTCTCAGCTCCTTAGTCAAAGTTCCCTTTGTATTTGCAATGTTGAAGAGCAGGATTATTCGTTAATTTTACAGTTTTACTCGTCTTGTAGGCCATCGTGTTGAAAACAAAATTTTCTTCACTCCTTGCCGTAAGCCCTTCCTACTCCCCCTAAGTTTGAGTTTGTCGAAATTTGCATGCGCGAGCCGGTATGCGCAGTGCAAATTTTTGTGTCGATTTATGGCAGGCATCTCACCAAACTTTTTCCCACCACCCGATTCGTCGGGTGAGATGCCTGCGGAGGAGGCTAATATAAAAGCCCGGGGAGGGATTTGATATTCAGCAGGGAAGAGTGGGGCTGATGAATTGAATTGAATTACTAATTAGCTATTC